CTAGTCAACTTCCTCCCCAAGTGCATTTCCTCATTTCACTTCAGCCCACATGGCTAAATGGTTGGGTGCTTTCTGTTTTAGGAAACCAGACGAGGCTAAATTATAGACCCATCTAACCCCAGTGCTAGCTACATTTCTACATGGAAGCCAAGCGAATACACCGAGTCAGCCCAGATAGTTAACAATAAAGACAGCAGTTTAGCAGCAAACAACCGGGAGCCCGTGACGACAAAACAACAAGCAGACAGGCGGTGTCGGTTTACCGACCGCTTAGTTTCCTTGTTAAATAGTTAGCCTGGCCCATGGCTTCAGATAAATGAGTCAACCATGCTGTGGGTCAAGATATGTCACAAAGGGCGGAAGGCAGCTAGCTAGCTCGGTCGCCATCTAGTTACCTCTAGCCAAGTCTGTCGAGACCACCACCACTAAAACACCACAGCAGCCTGAAAATACTGAAAATCACGATCACTGTTTGTATCCTGGACATTTAAATGACACTGCCTGTGTCTAAGTGAACCAAGACCGCAGGTGAAACGTTAACCAAAGCACCGGTGAAGCTGAATGTCCAAGAAAAATGTTACCTGACTGCACTGATACACCAAGAGCTCATTGTACTGCTAAGGGTAACGTTAGCTCTTATTATTATGAGATTCCAGACGACGTTCACTTTGGACAATAACACACCGTTAACCAGCATCCAAAGTGGCCTGTTACTAAATGAAAATGCACATTAACTACATAGTAGTGAGGACAGTGGCGGCAAGGCTAGTGAGAGCTTTTTCCTCTTCTTTTAGGAAATAGCCATAGCCGCAAGCTAGCGCAGCTACACTTAGCTAGCAGGCTAGCTCCGCACTTTGCTTCCACCAACAGCCACGGATACGTCAACACTCGCCAAATTAGAGTTAACTAACTTGAGTTTGCGAACCACAAAATGGCGAAACAAGGAGAATCAACACTCGTACCTGTTAACACAAATTTCGACAGCGAAGTGTCTTTCCAAGCTTTGCCTTGGAAGCTAACGTTAACGTGGCTACATATTGGGTCGTCTACTCGGACAGATCCCTCATGCAACTTACTTTAGCTGCCCTGTGTTGTGGTAATCATCTAACGATAGATATTGTAAGACTCAACTTTTAATCGGGCTCTAGCGGATCTGTAGAGCTTACAATCGCATACCATCATGCCAGAGACGCATTCCAAGAAGCCAGTTTAGTGAGTTCGGTCGTGGACTACTTACAAAGAGCAGGCTGAACATTGAAATCCCGTGACTACCCCGGAGAAAGTGGAGGGAGTGCAGAAACCGCTGTCAGGTCGCCTTTTTGTTCCTCTTCAATGTGGCAGCTTGAATTCTCGTCGGAGGTCGGGAACTGTTGTCGGGGAGGAGCCTCCTCAGTTGGTCGACGCCTTCAGGGACTGTCGGAAATGGGTTAAGCGAGGCAGCGCCGCTCAAAAATAAGCGTGTGAAGTGTGTAATTTTCTATGACACACGACTGTGATGGTTTGTAATTCCGAGAACGCAAACTCAGCACAGGTGCAGGCAAGCGAAATGCTTCATTTAGAACCAATAGACGTAATGAACACCTTCCAAACGACAACAAATGCTTATTATCAGAGTTGAGGCCGGTGCAGTATGTTGGGAGAAGACTTTTCGGTTGACACCAGGGAAGCAGAAGAGTAACAATTTTAGGTGCAACATTTGCAGCTAGTTCGTTTGATGCTGTTGTGACACGTTATTACTAAGTGTCCCTGAATGTACTAATCATAAAGACTAGTTCATCATAACGACAGCTGTGGCTCCTCTTTACAAACACCAAGAAGCAGTTGCGCGAGTTTACCCGGGTCACATGAACGCCACATGGAGGGTCTGGCGTCAGTACGACGTAAGAAGAATCCGGGTGAATGATGACAGCTCACCATGGTGACGACAGTTCCAGAAAGTAATAGCGCCATATATTACCCCTGTGCTCACGGGTTGTTCTTTAATATAGACCCTATCTCAAGTTCTCATCCAATCACATTTCAAGAAGCTCCAATAACCTATTTAGGTGTGCACACTTCAACCTGAAAGCACCAGAGTGGGCGTTCGTCTTTTATTTAAAAGTTTGCTTATTTGCTCGTGTATATATTTACACTTGTATATTCATGTCAAAGCTATTTATTTCATGTGGTTACCTGCAACAGAAGAAGCTTACTGACAGATCACACAGGGGTGTCTCAGATCTATCAGCGGCCTGAAATACTGTTTTTACTATAATTGTATATCTCCCTCTAGTGGCCACTCCTTTACCTGCAACAGATTTCTACAGCTACCCAACAGCTACTGATACACAGTCGTCCTCAAATGTATTCATACCCTTCCATTAAAGAAAAGGCAAAATTCGTAATTGTCACTCAAATAACTATAAACGGAAAAAAGTAATAATAAATAAAAAAATTGCAAAATTATAATTTAGTGAAATAAGACACTGTTTTTGAATCGTGGTTGAAAAGAATAATTTCAAAAAAATAAAAAACTGTCCTGGACAAATTAGAGCACTTTGCTGATGAGCAGT